GAATGACATCGTTAGCTTTACGAACTTGTTCTATAGCACTTTTAAACATCTCTCTTCTCTGTTGTTTCAGTGTGTCGTCTCTTCTTCTTGTTTCACCAACGTTTGCATTTGTTATGTCAAACATTTCTCTTCTTACTTCATGAGGTATTGAACGTCTATGATATAAGTCAATAGCAACGTCATTTAAAGGAAATGCTCTTGCATTTATGAACTCATGAATTCTATCATAAGTTATTTCACCATTGTAGTCATTGAGGATGTCAGCGAGTGCTTTTTTGTTTGTTGCGTAATGCTTTGCAACATCTATGTTAGCTTCTGTAAGAAGTTGTTTTATTTCCGAGTGTTCTAACTTAGACAACTTCCGATACATCTTTAGTAGGAAATAAAAAAATATTTTTTTGAAAAAATTAGATTAGATTTTTTAAAGTTATTTTTCAAAATAATTTAATATTTTTATTTTAATGAAACACATGCAAGATTGCAAGTTCTTTTCATACAATGCTCTCGCTAATGCCATCAAGAATGAGTTCAATAATGCTTCAAATGTTAATGTTATCTTTAACAAGAAGTTTGTGAAAGAATCTAAGTTTGGTCAGTATGTCAGACCATTAGCTATCGTCATTGACCGCAAACGTTATACTTCACAAGAGTTAGCAGTAGTTTTGAAACAAAAGAGTTTCTTCGTGAATGTCAAAGATACTCATTATACTGTCATAAAGAACTCTAACATTGACTTCTTCAGTATTGCTTTAAATCTTTCCGAACAGAAAGAATATAAGAAGGGTGAAACAAATGTGAAATATTATCCTTCATCTCTGAAGACAATAACGAACAAAGATGTTATACAGAAATTCTTACCAAAGGTTGAAGAAGCTTCTATTGACATTGACGAAGGAAGTGAAATGGTTGAAGAAATTGACTCTGAAGCTATTTAAGCAAAAATATATTTTTGGTTAGTCTTCATATGGATATTTTACAACAATTTCCCAATGTATAAACTTTTCATACGCTTTTTCATAAGCTTTATATACCTTCAGAAATTTTGCATAATCTTTAGAAGCATTTAGATATTGTTTAAATGCTTTATATGTCTTCAGAAATTTTGCATAATCTTTTACATGTTGTTCGTTCTCTTCTTCTGTTATGAGTTCCGAATATTCTAAATTCATGTTCTTTCATATGAGATAAAATTTTATAAAAAAAATAAAATTAGCTTAGATTTTTTCATTCTTCCTCTTTGAAGTTGTCGAAATATTCTATTATCTTTTCTTTCAGTAATGGTAAGTCTTCTTTGAATGTAAGTATTGTGCAACCTTTGATGTCATAGTGTGTTTGAGGAAGAGTATTTTTGACAATTTCTTTTATTTGCTCATTTGGGGTCATTGAAATCGGTAAGTTTTCGCGATAGAACCAATTTCTGTCAGATTTGTAAATCTTAGCAAGGTCGTAAAAGCTTTTGTTGTTTCTTCTGACTAAATGCAACATAACCATATCTCTGTCTTCTTCATTTTCCATCTCTTCAGTATAAATCATATACTTATAGTTCTTTTCCTTTCCTTTTGGTACCGAACGTGGTATTCTTTTCTGTATGCTTTTGTCTTTGGATTCAATGACTTCATCTTTTGCATGAAGTTTCTTTTCCATCTCTCCACGTTCTTGTCTATGAATTTCATCTAACATCATGAAAATATAACAAGCGTAACGAGGTGAAGCCCACATTGCTACAGCATTTACTAAAAGTCTATGAACATAATATCCTTTCAAACCAGGTGCCAAATTCTTGCGATTTTCGTACGGAATCTCTTCCCTCGGTTTTCCGAGGGAAGCAATCATATGAGGAAATTCTTCTAAAAGTTCTTTTGCCTGTTGGTTTTCAAACCAATGATATGCTTGCTTTGTAGACTGAAGAGCATTCATTATACTTTGCATTTGATACATATCATCTTTGACTGAACGAATGAGACGTAACTGTTTGTTATACTGTATGTACTCATATTCTTCATTTATGGCTTCATGAACGATAGCAGTTGTTGTGTTCTCTGTTGTTGTCATATCTGTCTTTACATACAAAATAAAAAAAATATTTTATAAAAAACTAGCATTATTTTCTGACTTTCACAAAAGACCAAAAATAAACGCTTTACATGTATTTTTCAGCAACTTCGTCAAATAATTTTATAGCTTTACCTATCTCATCTACTTCAAACGTTTCTTTACCTTTTATGGGAGCACCATACATTTTCTCAAACTTTTCAAGTAGTTCTGTTTCTGCAGCTCTCATATCGTTAACAAACACAACCTTGACTCTATTGACTGTACTGTCATATCTTAGAGTTATATTATATGTTCTTCCTATCTTATATCTTTTTGTATTGAAGTCCTTCGGTTTCTGAACGATGTAAAGTAAGCCCTCACTGCAACGTTCAGTATCGAATGAACCATATGTTATGAAGTTATATCCAACAACTGGGTCAATCCATAACAAAACTATTGGTATAAGACTTTTGTCTATAAGATATGCTGTAGTTCCATAGAATCTTACCGATATCATAAGCTCAGGATTTCTTGTCAAAATTTTCTGAGTAGAAGCAATTCTAACCCAGTCGTGTGGTTTCTTTCCAGATGGAGATAAAATGTCTGACAAAGAATATTTCTTGTATTTCTTTGAGTATCTTACGTTTAAATCACCAATTCTAACCACTTTGGTGTCATTGTCTATCTTTCTAACTGTTTCAAACTCAATGTTTGTCATTTTCTGTTCTTACATACAAGATAAAAATATTTTTTTTAAAAAAACTAACTTTATTTTTTCTATTTTGTATCTTAAGGAAATTCATGAAATTTGGTCATTTTTTTCACGATTTCAGGGATTTTTTTGACGAAGTGTTAAAGTTCTCTTCGTAAAAAAATAACAGTTATATAATGAAATTTGGTCATTTTTTTCACGATTTCAGGGATTTTTTTACGAAGTGTTAAAGTTCTCTTCGTAAAAAAATAACAGTTATATAATGAAATTTGGTCATTTTTTTACGATTTTCATGAGTTTTATGCAAGACCAAAAAAGTCTAAATCGCAATTTTTTACGATTTTCATGTATAAAAGATATGATTTCAGGGATTTTTTTGACGAAGTGTTAAAGTTCTCTTCGTAAAAAAATAACAGTTATATAATGAAATTTAGTCATTTTTCACGATTTTAGGGTAGATGGTTAGATCTCACCTCTTTTTTCACCTCTTTTTTCACCTCTTGAATTTTCATGATTTCATCGTACATGTTTTGTCAAGACTTCTTCGTACATGTTTTGTCAAGACTTCTTCGTAATGAGCGTAAATCAGACAAAAATATATTTTAGGTGAAGAGGTTAGATCTCACCTCTTTTCTCACCTCTTTTTTCACCTCTTGAATTTTCATGAGGGTCACCAGGTCCCTCGATCCCTCGGTCCCTCGGTCAACTAACATCTTTTTGAAAATGATGACAACATGACATTTTGACAACAACACAGGAAATAAACTTCTTCGTATATGTTTTGTCAAGACTTCATCGAAATGAGTGTAAATGTTTTGTCAAACATGAGCGTAAATGTTTTGTCAAACATGAGCGTAAATGAACCAAAAATATATTTTAGGTGAAGTGGTGAGATCTCACCTGTTTTCTCACCTCTTTTCTCACCTGTTTTTTTTCACAAGCGTTTTACATGAATTGTACGATGTATATTTGAAATCCTAAACAGTTTTGTAGCTTCTATTTCTTCTGTCAGTATATCGAATGTTTTCACAATGCCGAAAGTCTCTTTATACTTCTTCTTGACGTCAGATAGAAGGAAATCTTCTGCTGTTGGATAGTTTTTGTTCAGAAATTCTAACATGTCCATTTTGTTTTCTGCTGGTTTCTCTGCTTCTTTCTTTAAGTCAGCATAGTCGTTTCTCATACGTTCTATCTCTTTGACGGAGTAGTTATATCTCCTCATTGCTGCTTTACATTTAGAACATTGTGGGTTCATTTTAGCATTGTACATTGAAATTTGTCCTGCTAAAACAACTAAAGCGTCAATGGTTTTCTTTAACTCAAAAGTTGCTGGTTTTATCTGTTCGTTCCATACTTTACCTCTTCTATCTTTATCTCTTATCTGCCATACACATTCAGCAACTAACGAAACAAAGTTGTCGTAGGTCTTAAACTCCTCCGATTTATATATGTCAGAGATGTTCTTATATACCATGTCGCAATCTTTGTCCATAACCTTATGGTTGCAATGAAATCCTAGAAACTCATAGTTAACCTTACGTATGAACTTCTTTATTTCTACTGAGTCAGTTGGTTTCACTTCTATTTCATCGAATTCTGGAATAGTGAGCTTTTGTTGCTGTATTTCAGGAAGTTTAGGTAGATGGTCGATGAGGTCCTGCATGTCGTAAAGATACTGTTCATTTGTTTCATCTTTCGCACAACAGTCTAAATCTCCTTGGAGAAGTTCCTGCTTTATCTTCTGGATTTCTGTTTCGAAAGTATATGAAGAAGGAATGAAGCTTTTCATCTCTACTAACATTGAAGTTGGGTTCATGACTAAAGAGTTTGGTGCTGTTGTTGCTAACATGTTCTTACAATAAAAATAAAAAATATTTTTTTAAAAATACTAACTTTATTTTTTCTATCTTAAGGAAATTCATGAAAATTCAACGGGTGAGAAATGAGGTGAGAAAACAGGTGAGATCTAACCTCTTCACCTAAAATATATTTTTGGTTCATTTACACTCGTTACGATGAAGAAGTCTTGACATTTTCCCGACTGTTGTCAAAATGTCATGTTGTCACCATTTTCAAAAAGATGTTAGTTGACCGAGGGACCCTCAGTAAACATCTCATTTTAACTCACTTTTTTTTCTATCTTAAGGAAATTCATGAATTTTCATGAGGGTGAGAAAAGAGGTGAGAAAAGAGGTGAGATCTAACCTCTTCACCTAAAATATATTTTTGGTTCATTTATATCTAATGAAAAAGTTTAGAAGAATTTTCTTATTCTTTCTGGCATAGTTTTGTCTTTCCAGTACTCCCGCTCTAATGGTCCCAGATGTGTTGGCTTCGACTCTCTCAAGTTCTTAGATGGTATAACATCTTCAACGCCTCCTTCATATCTTACTTTATAAGTGTCATCGTTTATGTTATAGCCAAGTATTTCAATAACCACTCCTCGCTTTGCTTCGTCAATGGTTTCAGCAAGTTTGCCATTACTACTTTCAACTAATTTATGACGAGGGTAAAATGCTATGGAGTCGTCAGCAGCTTTTATAAGATATCCATTACCTTGCGTAGAGTCTACGATATAATAGTTTCTACTTAACCTTAAACGTTTCTTTGTCAACGGTTTGTCGTCAAGAACTACACGAACTTTTGTACCAGGAATGAGGGTAAATTGTGTTGAATTTATGATATTTTGTGTTTGGCTTCGTTTCTTTTGTATATACTTTTCTTCTTGTTGTTGTGTCATTGAATTTGGTGTATGTCCTGTTGTAGAATGTGTTGAGGAATTATATACTTCGAGAAAGTGTTTCATTGTTTCTTCGGTAAAGTCTCGCTCTTGGTTTAAATCTCTGAGAGTCCTTATGAAGCGGTTTATGATGCCAAGTATGTTATGGTTATGGTCTTCAGTAGTGTAGTGAGTTATGTTATGCTTAATGAGAAATTCTGTGATTTCATTACTGAGGTATGCACTGTCTTGGTCTGATGTTAAAGTACTTGGGCTATGTTCTGCTACAAACTTTTGTAAAACTCTTAACACTTCATGAGTTCCTTTATTTTTCATTGGATATGCATATGCTTTGCGAGTGTTAACATTAATGAAGATGAGGAATGGTTTATGTCCTCCTTTTCTGCTTTGAATGAGAGTGTCAAATTGGTATGCGTCAGGAGTGTTGGAGTAAATTGGTAAAAAGTAGTCGTAAGGGTTTATTTTTGTTTGATGTACAACATTTTTGTCAAAGAACCTTTTCACTTCAGCTCTGTTAGTAAATCCCCAACTCTTTGCAGCTTCATTGAACTTCTTAAATGACCTCCATGGATGTTGTTCGAATACTTCTTTCAAGCTCATTTATGTAAAGTTAAAGATTTTATTCTAGGCTCAAGCGCGTTCATTGAACGCGGTACCATGCGAATATAGTCACAAATGGTGGCATATAATCTTCACCCGAGCCTGTTGGATTTGTTGTGAAAGTGTGTGAATGATTTCCTGTGGTTCCACAGAAAATACCTGTGCTTAAATCTACTGGGTCACTTGAAATATCATATCTATGCATTCCCTGTCTATCCGAACCTGCTGCAAGATTTGTATAACCTCTTTTTGTTATTGAATGTGAATGACTACCTGTTGTGTTTGTAGTTCCTGTATGAGTGTGCGGTGGAAGGTTTGCTTCTTTAATTTTCTTCGAACCACCTGTTTGCTTTGAAGAGTTCGCACAGTATAAGAATTTATCTACAATCTGCTCCCACGTACCGAAACCCAGAACTGTTGCTGGATTTATTGAGTTCATTGACGTATAAATAGAGCCTGCAGGATATAATGTTTGAAGTATTTCAGTCTTTAATGTTTGAAGCTCTGTTTTGTCAGCCTTCTTGTCATATAAATCTTGAGCAGTGAATTTAATATTATATTCATCCTTCATGACATAAACATCTTTACATCTAATGTTTCTCATCGTCGTTATGTCGTCATCCGATGTTAAACCTTGTGGAAAGTTAGGAGGTTTACAATATAATGCATCCCCACCAGTTTCTTCAACCGTTCCTTCAATACTTTCTATAGCAACAGTTGTAAAACTTATATGTGTATGGTTCTTGTCAGCTTTACTGTCTAACATTGCTGGGTAGTTCATGGGTTTCAAAGTTTCTGGCATGACCTTCAATGTTCATACATTTACTATTTAAGGAGTTTAGTGTATCTTTTACGCTTGTACTTGGATTCTCTAAAGGTGCACTTGAACCAAGGGTATAGTTCAATATTATGTCGTCTGCTCTAACAGTAGTGAAGAATTTATGTGTATGGTTCTTGTCGGCTTTACTGTCTAATGTAGCTTGAAGTTCATTTATATCGGAGATGTTGTGTTTATGAGATTTCAAAACTTTGTTCATTGCTTCGAGTTCAACTTTGTCAGCTTTACTTTTAATAGCATCTTCAAACGTTATTTTTGACTTAACTCTCAAAGTAAATCTTGGTTCAACTAATACACCTTTAACAGAGAAAGTAGAGGCATAAATTTCATCGTTATAACTAAATGCTTCTGGTGCTTTACCCGTGTCATACTGTACAGTACAGCTTATGTCATAACCTTTAGCACGAATGTATTTATATCTTCTTTCATTGGGGTCTTCCGTCTTCACTTCTTCAGTTCGTGTTAAATATCCATGGTAGTCCGTTATAATCTGTTCGTCTGAAGTTATATAATGAACGTGGTTTTTATCTGCTTTTTCGGCTAATTTCTCTTCTATCTCATTTATTTCAAGTTCATGCCTACCACCACCTCCCGAAGAAGTATTTTTCTTCAGCTCTTGAAGAACGTCCACTTCGCCATCTTTGGTGTCAATAATGAGACTTTGTGTTAAAACCTTTCCTGTCTTAATGGATGTTTGTAAAACTTCTTCTTCACCGTGTTCGGGGTCATGGTCGTCATCATATCTTGTGAAATCAGAGATGTTGTCATACATTAAGCATATCTGTCTCAAAAGTTCTGCTATTTGAAACTGGAACGAAAGATATACAGAACTTTCATCATCTCCTAAAGTCAAGTCTGCTTTCTTAAGTATTTCTTGAATGTATGCAATGAGAACAGAGTACCTTGGAAAATATTCGAACAATATTTCATTAGCTGTTGGTTTTGGTGGTTCCTCTGGAGTTTCTGTTGTTTCAGTTCCTTCTGTAGGTTCTGTTGGAGTTTCTGCATCTCTTGACTTCAATGCTCTTGCTCTCAAAGACCTAAATGTTAGAGCACCGGGTTTTACAAAGGACTTTATAAATGCTTTAATAGTTCCTGGTAAGTTATTGTTAGCATTAAGTAAGTTCCTTATGCTTCCATCATGTACGTCCATAGCACTATGTAAAAAATCTATACTTTTCTTGTAGTCAGCAATAGACTGACTGTGATTTTTTAAAGATTTGTCAATACCTTTAAGCCAATCTTCATGCATGTCTGATACTGAGCCAAGAATATCATTTGCTTCCTTTAGTGTATTTTGTGCTTTTCGTAAAGTATCCAATCCCGTACGTGCATTGTTTGCTATACGTCTTACAGTATCTATTTGACTCCTTGTTTCTTGCATCCAACCAGATAAAGTTTTAATAGTATCCGAACCATTTGAAATGAAGTTCAAAGCATTTTTAACGTCATCTAAAGCTTCTTCACCAAGTACTGCCCATATCTTTCCGATTTGGTATTGAAGAACTCCATATGAAGCAGCTGTTAAACCAGTATTTATAAGGTCCCATATCCATGATTTAGCAGTTTTTCCATCCTTTCCATCCTTTCCATCCAAACCGTTTTCGCCTTGAGGTCCTTGTATTCCTTGTATTCCTTGTATTCCTTGTATTCCTTGTGGTCCTTGTGGTCCAGTGTCACCCTTCTCTCCTTTCAGTTCATCTTTATGTTCGTTATAATATTCTAATGTCATAAGGTGTACATCATTACTGCTACCAGCAACGCCGAGAATTTGTTTCTCATTCATGACTAAATTCTTTAGGCATTTAATGTTGTCGTCAAATCGAAAGCTCTTTAACAATTCAATGAGAACATTCAGTACTTTCACTAATGAGGCATCTACTGTAGAATTTATATATTGCAACGTTCCATCATTTATGATAGGAACTTTACTTATTGTAATGAATGGGTCATAAGTGTTAAAAGTATCGAAATCAATGACTTTTTTAGTTTTTCCATCGTCAATGACTAAATCATTGCCTTCAATGGTTAAAGTTGAGTTTTCGTTTACTAGTTCATGTGCTCTTCTTGCTTCATTTGTTTCATACGCATATGCAGCAATAGTCATATTTTAATGAGAATAAAATGTTGTTCTATTTGCAAAGTACAGACCCAAACGAATACGGGACAGTAAAGCTACAAACAAACTTAGGTCTTCAGAATGAAGCACTTGCTTTCAGAGTTGTTGACTTCAATACTATCGCAACTTTTGTCATAACAGATGAAACAGATTTCATAGAGATTGAAATAGATGACAAAAGAAGTTTTATAACATTTCCTAACAGAGCAGAGTATAGAATAGATAAAATTGCTGGAGTCATAGATACTCTCATAAATGAAGAAACTATTAACAACATAGATGTCGAACTCTCTTCTGAGGGAACATTGAAGTTCAGTAGCAAGAAAGAGTTCAAGATAACACGAATGAGTCATAGAGTACAACTTCTTTTGGGAGCATACCATATGACATTTCCTTTGAAAAGTGTTGACAAAACGATTGAGATGAAATCTGTTCCATACGTATGTTATGGTAATTGTTTGTACATTGAGTCTAAAATAGCTAATGTCACAGGCATTTCAGGAGTTAATAGTAAAGGTTCAGTAGAATATAAATCCTTCTGTTATGCAGTCAATTCAATGTTCATTCCAAACGTTCCTGTCATAGCAACTCATTTAGGTAAATGGGTTCGCATTAGTCCTCATAATTTGAAAGACATGCAATTCAGACTAGTTGACTTTCAGGGCGAGCCTGTAGAACTGAAGGCACCAGTGCGAATGACTGTTGAAGTTGACTTTTTAGAAAATATTAAATGCAACAGCTTACAGAGAACTCAGAGCTAAAAATATAAAGTATGAATGTTATGTTATTAGGTCATGAACTTTGGTTGTTGCTGTTTGATGAAACAAATGAATTAGTTATGTCAGTCAAGAGAACAGAAAAATATTGTGTTAGTGAAAACTGCACCAAGTCAATAAGATTAGGTTTGCATTATGAAGATGAGTTCGATACTGTTGAAGAAGTTTTGGATAGATATTAAAATTGCTTTAATTTACTAAAACATATTTCAAGCAAAGTTTATATTCTGTTGAAAGTTTGTATACTCGTTCGAATATTTATACTTAAACTCAACTCCTGGAGTACCTGGTATTTCAATGATGCGGATGTTACCTATTTTCATGAATGGTGGCGTTTGACCACAGCATTCGATTTCAGGGTCGAGATAGTCAATGACACATTGTTTCCCTGTTATTCGTGAGATAACATTTTCAAGGTCCTCCTTTGTTAGAATTATTTGGTTCTTACTTATAAGATTTGTCAAAAGCTTCTTATCGTCTTTGAGTAAAATTGTTTGGTATAACTGAAGAAGGTAATGGTCTACGTTATCTGAAGGATTTGTTTGAACATTTGTGTAAGGGTTGTCGTTGGCTTCTCTTGAAAGAATTTGGTCCAGTGGTGGATACTCTAACTTAACATCTGATGTAGCGTTAGCGTTTGAAGCTGTGTTTAAATTCACGGATTTCAGCTCTGGTTCTGGCTCTTTCAAACACTCCGAACTATAATTCTTTATGACAATATTGTTTGTCGTTCGTGAGTCAACATTTGATGTTGGTTCAATTGGAACATTAACGGCACCAGCTAAGATGGATTTGCTTCTCATTTCATATAGAATAAAAACCTTTTATATGTATGAAATGAACAATATACTCGACAAGGGTTTGAATGTAAAGCTAACGAATGAAAATATTGTTGAATTCACTGAGACAGGTGTGTGTATAAAGATGTAGAACTACTGAACAAAAGAGCAAGGGAAGAAGCAGGAATATGAACAAAGGGTGGAAGCCTATAAAAATTTATGTCAATGATGGCTCAGGAGGTTCAAACATAAAGTATGCAGAAAGTTATAGAGTTTATGCTCTCAAAGGTGAAAAGCCTTCATTTAAGAACAGCTATTCTAACGCATATCCTCAAAAGCTAACGGATGGGGAAGTGGATGATATGAATGACAGCAAAAATATTAACAGAAATGGCGACAGAGATGCATGGAATTTGTTTACCATCAGTCAATTGAAGGTTAAACTTTAAAACAATGTTGGTCGTTCCCATGGAATATTTTTGACTTTAATGGTATTAGTCATGATATGAATCTCAAGGTATGAACGAGGAGAGATGAGAGACTTATATGCTTCCCAAATTTCTTCAAAAGGTAATGTTATACCTGACTGTTTCCAAATGAGTTCAATATCATAACGTGAGAAACCTTGAAAGATAACGAAGTCAGTTATGAGACGTTTTATGTTTAAAGCAAGAAAAGCCATGTTTGCATAAGTATTGCTACAGTTAAATGGTAATGTCTGACTTTAGTTATGATGTTAGCTAATGGTGAGTCAGGCTTTGACACTAAACCTTTTCCGGCGAAGTCGTCACAAACGAGCAGAGTGTTTGAAGGATACTTTTTGAAGGGGTATTTTGAAAGTTTTGACAGAATGTAGTTTGTCAGTCGTTTCATATCGTAAACTCCTGAGTATGACGTAAGTGGTGTTTGTCAATAATTCTTTCCATCTCTCAGAAGTCTTTTGCATTCCTGACTGTATAAATTCAACGATGGCATAATATTTCTCTTACGTCGAATGTAACGTTGAAGAAATTCAATGAGTTCACTGTCTGGAACTTTAACGACAGATGCTTGAACTTT